CCAAAATCACTTGAATCCAAGTATTCCTGTTTTCTTTGTCTTGGAGCCAATATCTGGGGCATCAGAATGGTTCCTTCTCCCTCACGCTCTTCATCCCGTGGGCCACTGAGGTTTACTGATACCTTCTGGCTTCAGTTGCCATCTAGTATCCACGTGCTCCGTTAACTGTCAACCCAAAAGTCTTTAATGTCTAAAGTGGTGCTTCTCAAACTTCAGCATTAGATTCACCTAGGAGGGTCTGGGTGTGGTGGCTCACTCCTGTAACCTCAGCACTTTGGAAAGCTGAGGTGGGTGAATCACTTGAGGTTAGGAGTTCGAGACTAGCTTGGGCAACATGATGAAACTCTGTCTCTACTAAAAATACAAAAATTCGCCGGGCATTGTGGCATGCACCTGTAATCCCAGACACTTGAGAGACTGAGGGACAAGAATCACTTGAACCTAGGAGGTGGAGGCTGCAGTGAGGCAAGATCATGCCACTACACTCCAGCCTAGGCAACAGAGCAAGACTTTGTCTCAAAAACAAAAACAAAAAACAAAAAACAAAAGGAAAAAACCAGAATCACCCGGGATGCTTGTTAAACAAAGATTGCTGGTCTCCACCCCTAGACTTTCTAGTTTAATACGTCTGAAGTGGGACCTAGGAATGACATTTCTAACACATTCCTAGGAGATACTGCTGCTGGTGGTCCAGAGACCATACTTTGAAAACCACTGAGGCAATGGTTCTCAACTGCTGGTGAGCATTAGAACCCAATCACTATCATCTACTTCTGCCTACTGAATCGAAATTTTCAGTAGGGTGGGGCAGACTGGCTTTTTTTCTGTTTAAAAGCTCCACAGGTCATCCTGATGCACTATCTTGGTTAAGAACCATGAATTCAATGACTAACTTCTGGATCTGGACTTCACCTTCTTCCAAAGCCTTATTTTTCACACCTCCTTTAACTTCAATCCTCCTCTTCAGTCCTATGAAACAGTAAGCAGTCTGATGATTCCAGACCTTTCCTCCCTTTTAGCCCTGGATCAGTTTTATTTATTCATTCATGCATCCATTCATTCGTTGGGTACCTAGCACTTGCCAGGCATTGCCCCAGATGCAGGAGACAGTGCAGTGAATATGAGAGATGAAGCCCTGCTTTGTAGAGCTCATCCTGTTTGTTCTAAGCTCCCTAGCATTCTGTTTCCCCTTCTCTCTCACTGCACAGATCTGTATCGGCTTCATGCCATAGTCTCTTGCTAGACTGTAAATTCAATGAAGGCAAAGACTGAGGTATGTCTTTGTAGGTGCTCAATATGTGTTTTTCTGGTTAAATTGAAAAGCACTTCTGCTGACCTAGCCCTCTTTCAAAAACCATCTCCAGAGCCTTCTCTCTCTGCTCTTTCCTGACCTGCTCTAATTCTACTTGACACAGTCAGAATTGAGCTCTGCCTTCAATGAGCCCTCCCCTCTTCCCTACACAGATTTCTAACTTGACACTTAAAATGCTTTATTCCACGCTGTTTACAGAGATCTGGTTCCTTCTACCAAACTGTGAGCTTCTGAAAGGTAGGAACCATTTCATTTCCACCATTTTAATATCTGTACTTCAAGAGCCTGACATATGGAAAGTACTTTAAAATGTTTGTAAAATTCAGCCTGGGCAACATGGTGAAACTTTGTCTCCACCAAAAATATAAAAATTATCTGGGCATGGTGCCCCACCCCAGAGTCCCATCGACTCAGGAAGCTGAGGTGGGAGAATCACCTGAGCCAAGGAAGTTGTGGCTGCAGTGAGCCAAGATCACACCACTGCAATCCAGCCTGGACAATGGGAATGAGACCCTATCTCAAAAAAAAAAAAAAAAAAAATAGTTTGTCAAATTAATGAATGAGTTAATTTTGTTTTGATTTAAAACTGCTCTGCAATGTTTTGCCCCAAACTTCCTTGCGGTTTTAATGAACTCTACTTAAGACTTCCATTTCTCCATAGTAGGAAGATACCTTAATTCAAATTTCATACAGTATGGAATATGCACAACACCAGATCTGGGGGAAAAGCTTATTAAGAATCCAGATAAATCCTTACAGAGAGGGCAAAGAGTGACTTTATAGATTATCTCCTGCATTCTTGACTCAGAGTGCTGACTCGAGGTCTTAACTCCACTTTAAACCTTCTATCCGTGCCTCTCAGTTCTCTCCTTTATATAGACTGAACAAAAGACATGGTTTTTAATCTACACTCAGTTTTGACATCAAGAATGATACTACTTAGCAAATTAAACTGACTCTTTGAAATTCATTAGAAAAATAAAATCAGATAACCTCTCAATAGGAAAAGGTATCTGAAAAAGAGATGGTTACACTTTACAAAATATACAGAAAGTAAGTGTTCTTGATAAACTATGCTCAGAGTATCATGCCATGCACATAGTAGGCCCTCAATGAATATTTATTGGGTGAAAAAAGGCAACTGGTAAGTGCTTTCACCTAAATTGAAAAGCACTGACTTTTGCTACTGTTGTTTATCACCAGAGACTCACACATTGCAGGTCCCTCCAGGAGCTATGGTTCCACTTTGGGATGCTGGAGCCAGTGCCAAGTGTTTCCCACAGGTGAATAAACTCTGTTACTAGAACTCATACAGCCTCACGTATGTTCAGGGAAATCCTCCTACCACATATATTCATAACTGCTAACCACACAATTCAGAGTTGTATAATATATAAGCTGTGATATATCACCTTGATATATAACTTTTTGTCAGGCTAAAGTGGTTATAAATTCATTTCTAAAAGTTATTTTGGCTACATAAAATTCTCAGAAACTTAAGATCACCATTCAGTGTAGCAGCTCAGTCTTCCCTGGGGTAGTCTTATTCATTTTTCAACTACATTAGTACATATAATCTTTTTAGCATGCTTGTAGGCATGAGAAGGAAATAAAATGACATGAACTGTATCACCAACTTAATTTTCTCTTTAGTGTATTGGATATCTGTATGTGGAATGAAGATCCTTGAAAGCCCACACCATTCCCACAATTACTTATTGGAAACAATGTTCATTCTATGTAACAAAAAGAAAGATTAATGAAGTTTATGTATCATTGGAGCAGATAATTTTACAAAGCTACTTTCTTAAGGCTTTAGAATTAAGGATTTGACTGTGGGAACAGAGAGTTTTAAGGGCAGGACACCCCAGATAACCTCACCCACATACATTTCTCAAACAATGCTTTTCTGTATGTAAACAAAAAATAGAAAGGAGTATATGGTTTTTGTCCTTAGTATTAAATAGCTGGCTTTCTTTCAGGACACTCTTAAATTTCTGCACAATGCACAGCCTTCAGCACCCCAAGGAGCATAAACAAAGGATATCAGGCAAGTTCACCTACTCCCACTTCACAGAACAATGCTTGTTGTTAACTAAGCAATTCCCAGGGCAGATTTATGATTTGTGGAGCCCAGAGTGAGTGCTCAGGTTGGGTCCCTGGAATCCGGGGTCAGAAGCACGTGGTGCTGCTCAATCCCCAGGGCTTTTACAAAACATGAAAATGTGACCTAAAGTTTGTGCTTGCATGTACACCAGAGGCTATTTAGGCATTTAGAGAAATTAAAGCACATTAAGGCCTCAAAGCAGTTTATTGTTCATGCTTCGAGATTTAACTTTTTCTTTCTTATTTGCTGCTATGTTTTTCCTCTGGTGAATAAATGACTACTGAATCAAGTAAGATGAATTGACTACATATATAACATGTCTCACGTATTAAAATATACTGATAGAGCAACAAGTTATAGAAATAGGTAAATGTGAAAACTTGAAAATTCCCTTTTCATTTCCTAAACAGAATTATGACTCTGAATGACTAAAAATACAGGAGTTATTTCCTGTATTCTTAGACACTGGGTTTTTATAATAAGAAAGAATTTTTCTTCAGTGTACTTAATTTATCCCAAAACTTTACATGAGGATTGTAGTTCCAGTCAGAACTATAAGCACTTAAAAAAAATAAATGCAAACAAGTGCTTGAAAAGGCTTCTTTCCTCTTGTCACTTTAAGAAATATTTTGGCTAGAGTTACATCCCATAGGTTTATATAATGCTATTAACATGTAATGTAACTTTGGGGAATAATTTCTCCTTTGTGTTGTCTGGTACAAGTCTAAAAGTAAAATAGGTTACTGTTTCCATTTTTATGAGCATAACTATTATCAAATTATTAATACTATGAAATAATCCAATTTCATCACTACTCTTTTACTCTCTAAAATCACCTATTAAATATTACAATTGGGCTGGAAAAAAAGAAAAAAATATATGTGTATATACATATACATATATATAGAGACAATGTTCACATCATTTTAAAAGTCATTTGGAATTATCTAAATATGTGACTTAACTGTTCAATACTATGAATAGTTAGTATAATATAAATACAGCCATATGTCCCAGGCTGAATGAAATTGTTGATGGGTCAGTGAAGGTGTTGGGTCCTCTCACATACTATAGATAATTCAAGAGCTAGCCTATTCCAATTGACTTCATGTGAAGCTAAGTGGCTAACCCATGGTCTCTAAACAATTATTACATTTCTACATTATTCAGGAAAATTATGTTCTACCAAGTTTCCAGTGTGGTTCTGGTGTTTAAAAGTCCTCAAATAGGCTTTAAAATAAATTGTGAAATCTGAAAAAGAGCAAACACAATGAAAAAATAATTTATAAAGAAGACAGATCAATACTAAAGGCACATTGTAGTCACAAAAACACTTATAAAATCACAACGCTGTATTTTAAAAATTAATAATGAGTCAGAAAGTTCTGGATTAGATGGCAGAGGCTGATGAAATCCAGTCTTCAATTCTTGCACAAATGGAAAATAACATAAATGCCTAGTCTACTGAGCTTCTCCTTGTCTGTTAGCTAGAGAGGAAATACCTTCCTAACACCTACCAGTGGAAAATCATTGAAAAAGTAGATTAGTGAGAATAAAACAACAAAAAGAATAGTTCCCTACCCATTGCTTCCCACTGAATGAACTTTTGACATATCAGCAAACTCTTCTTTTCGCTTGCTGCTGCTGGTATACTGCTCGCTGTACAGCTTGAGGGACATCTGCTCAACAGCATCTCTTTGTGCTTCCAGGTAGCATAGTTGAACCTCAGCCTGGAAAGAGAAACAAAGAGAAATTGCTGTTTTAATCCAGAAGGAATGCATTTCAAGTGAGGTGTAACAGCTCAAAGAATGGGAATTCTTCACATCATTATACCGCTTCTTTTCGAGTTGGATTTAATGGGATCAGTTGGGCATATCACAGAATTATATTTTAGATCTGAATCTTATAAGTTCTTCCTTAAAATATGACCTGAATAAATGAACCCTCAGAAGACTCTGTAAATATCACAAAATATCCCTGAGATCATAATACTGTATGATAAGACTTTACATAAAAATTCTGTGAAATTCCTTAATAATATTCTTCCTTATATTGTCACATATGTAACACTTATTTTTTAAAAATCCCTCTCCAACTCACACATTTGCATGGACACATATTCTAAATGCTTCTCTATTATTTTCCCTATGGAGAATAAAAAAGCCTAGTGTTAATTCCAGTACCTCTTCAATAATCACAATAGACTTTATTACATTTTTTGGTTGTCTGTGTTACTGTCTTAATAATTTTAAAGTAATGCAAATAGTGATTTTGCTTACATGCAGGTATGAATTGTTAAATCTTTCATACTTAGGGCTCACTGCAGTAAAGGAGAGGTAGTAAGTTCACCATGCTGTTTTCTATCAAACCAAGGCCAAAAGAATGCTGAATAATATTTGGCATGAAACTGTATTGAATAGATGCTTTATTTATTGCAGCTGTTCTGATCCCTGTGGCTTTCGGGTTCCCTAGAATGCCAGATGAGACCGAGAATGATATCTTCTCAGGGGCATGCTTGGCCATGGTAAAGGGAAGGGAGCAATGCTGAGTTCATGTACATTGTAGACCAAAGGACTCTTCTTTTAGTGTGCTTCACTAAATCCAAGCATGTCCATTAACACTTCTCATAAACCTTAAAATCGCTACTTTACAATTTTATTATATATTCTAGGAAAAACATTTCTGGGTCAGCTGTTAAGTAATTGCCAGAATTCTGTAGCATGTAAGAAGAAAAGTCGGGTCGGACGTGACCTTCTACTCTTAGTATTCACAGCTGACCAAGGCCTTTTGCCTGATCTCTAGTTTTACAGCCTCAACTATGGAGAAAAAGTGAATATTATAAAGTGGCAGCTGCTTAAATCCCAAATTAGTACTCTATAAAGGAAATGGGTAGCCTATGAAAAAATGAGGTCTTGCAGGCCGGGTGCAGTGACACATGCCTGTAATCTCAGCACTTTGGGAGGCTGACATGGGTGGATCACTTGAGGTCAGGAGTTTGAGACCAGCCTGACCAACCTGGCGAAACCCCGTCTCTACTGAAAATACAAAAATTACCCAGGTGCATGTCTGTAGTCCCAGCTACTTGGGAGGCTGAGGCAGGAGAATCACTTGCACATGGGAGACAGAGGTTGCAGTGAGCCAAGATTGCTTGACTACACTTTAGCCTGGGCAACAAAGTGAGACATTGTCTCAATTTAAAAAAAGAAAAGAAAAAAAGAAAAATGAGGTCTCAAACCATTCTAGAATTCCTATGTTGTTGCTTTTTATAAGTACTTAATTATGAATGCTCTGGGTTGCTGAGAAAGAATTTAAAGAAACACTGTTAAAATAACTATAGTTATATAATTGAAGTTTCAGAAATCAGATCAAAACTGCAATCTATTTTTTGGTTCATGTGAACTGCTCTTGCCCAAAATAATTGACTTGAATAAGAAGACACTCAATTGGATTAAGAACTATGTCGAACACTATAAACAAAGGATAATGTTATATGGAGTACATTCAGTTGGGAGTAGGGGGTATGGCTGGCGGGAAGGCACAAAGAAAATGCTAGATGTAGTGATGTTAGTATCTTTATTGATGATGTGGAAAAGGAGGTATGCAGAATGTTAACAGCACATATAGAAGACTGCCAACTAAGAGGTTTGCAAACATCACGGAACCTGAAAGAATGATAACTACTGATGAAATAATGTTTTATTTTTAAAAGGATAAAACTAAATGTAAAAAGTCAACAATAAGAAACACAACAGAATAAATCTTTTAGAAGAACATACAAATTTTTATGAGATAAATGAGATTACAGAGATATTGAGCAATAGTCAAAGAACTTAAGAACAATACTCCTCCAAAATGCCACCCCTTTACTTCCAATGCAAAGCCACAGAGTTTAATGAGTACTTTTTTTTTTTTTTTTTTGAGACGGAGTCTCGCTCTGTCGCCCAGGCTGGAGTGCAGTGGCCAGATCACAGCTCACTGCAAGCTCTGCCTCCCGGGTTTACGCCATTCTCCTGCCTCAGCCTCCTGAGTAGCTGGGACTACAGGCGCCTGCCACCTCGCCTGGCTAGTTTTTTGTATTTTTTAGTAGAGACAGGGTTTCACCGTGTTAGCCAGGATGGTCTCGATCTCCTGACCTCGTGATCCGCCCGTCTCGGCTTCCCAAAGTGCTGGGATTACAGGCTTGAGCCACCGTGCCTGGCGAGTTTAATGAGTATTATAGCCACACTAAGTATTCCACTGACCCAGTTAGAATAATGCATTTGTGCCATTAGGCGCCAAAGGACATGTTTGATATCTAAAGGTTCCTGTTAGTTTTTAACCACCCTAAGTCACAAGCTGGACCATGGTTCATTCTGCGTAGTGACCTCACAAATGTGTGCTACTGGTCACAAAAAGGATCATAAACAGAGAAGTCAACTTCATATAGACTCAACACCAGTACAGAAAAATAATCTGCATTCATCACTGTGATCCTCAGCCATTTCTGTGTACAAAGAGATATACTTCACATATGACAGGGATATATGAAAAGAAATTCAGAGAACAAAGCTGAGAGTAACTCCAAAAATAGTCACCTTACAAAATGATTGAAATGTTATAATCTATGACTTTTATTGCATAATACCTCACAAGCATTTGGCAAAGGAAATTTCCCTGTACTAACAAGGAGATGAATTAGATGGCACAGGTCTTTCTTATCCATCTCTATTTCTATTTCTGTTTTCAGTGATTCATTCCTAAATGAGATGATAAAAATAGAACCAAAGTAGTTCCTCCTGCTAAGGTTGAATGGCTTTGCCAGTCTAAATCTCTCTGCAGACTGTCTTAACTTTTTTCTCATATTCTATCTTAGTCCAAAGATAGAAAGAGTTAAAGAAAACTTAGTCCTTTAGAAACAGTGACACAATCTCTGGTTAAAAAAAAATTATTAGCATCTATAACAGTGGATACTTTAAAAAGTTACTATATTTTACAAATGGAAACTTAGCACGATTAAATAATATTTAAGATGCACAATGAAAATAATTTGGCAACTTACTCATTAAATAGGGGGTTGGGGAAGAAGACTCAGTGATGGAATCTCCTCTTCCCTTCTAGGTCACTAAAAGACCCATGATACCATCAACAGGAGTAGGAGTATACTCCTGTATAGGAAGAGCAGTTCAAGTGGATGGGAGATATCATCTGGATTTGAATCTATCAGTTTAAGGTACTGGTGGGATGCTCAGAATGAGATGTTCAGCAAGCAGGTGGAAATACTAGGATTGAAATACAAACCTACAGGCAATGGCTGCCATTAGGAGGTGAAGTGAGAATGCCATGGGAGAGAGTAGACAATGAGAAGAGAAAAAAGATCAGTTTTCACTTACTCTGGTCTAGGCCTTCATTATCATTGGCTTACCCAATGTAATGGATTCTCAGTCATTCTCCCTCCCAAAATTCATTTTATTTATTGTTCAATGATCTTTTTGAATCACAGTTGAGATCACTGGTGTATTGTTTGTGGGCTCGATTCTGGGCCACTTTTCTCTATATACTCTCTTCCATGGCTTTAAATGTCAACTAAGTAGTAATGCCTTCCAATCCTCTTCTCTAAGCTGCATACTTACATACCAACCAATCACCTGACATCGCTGCTCGGGTTTCTTTAGACTTTACTACTTAAAACAGAACTCTTCATCCCCATCTTTACCACATCCCCCAAACCTTTCTGTACTTAGGCCTTTAAATAGAATAAAACCTTTCCTTTTAAATAAATGGTACTGTGTATTGTTCATGTCAGAAACCTGAGAGTCATTGTTGACTCTTCCTCTTCTTCATTTCCTTTAGCAGGTTATTCCCTAAGTTGTTGAGTCCTCTTCTAAAATGTCTCTCCAGTCTCTTTCTCCAATCTGCACTGCTGCCAGCCTAGTCCAAGTTTTCATAATCTTTCACCTGCAGTACAGCAAATATATTCTAACATGTATCTCTCTGCACTCATTCCTAGACCCCTAATCTCTTCTCTTACAGTGGCCCAAGTAGTCTTTATAAAACATGAGCTGGTTTTAGACTGCATTCAGACCCAAAAAACAAAATTCTCTCCATGGCCTAGGATATTTGGTTCCTGCTGACCTTAGACCACATTTTCTACCAGTCTCCCTCTTGATCACCATGCCCCTGTCATCCTTGCCTTGTTTCAACACTTTAAATATTCTAGTTCTTTTAACAGCCTGTTCTTGCCTCAGGGCCTTTGCACATATTGTTCCATTTCACTGGAATATTATCTTGCTAATGTCTTCTCATCTTTCCAGCTCTCAGCTGATATGCTACTTCTCAAAAAGGCCTTGCCTAACTTATCAAAACTAGATCCATTCTATTTTTCCTCTATTTCAGATACAGATTAATTTCCTTCATAACACATATCAAAATTTAAAATTCTTGCATTTGCTGGTTAACATTTTTTTCTGTTCCTTTTTCTAGACTCCAAACTCCATAAAGGATTGTTTCTGTCTCCTTTGCCATTTTGCATTCCCAGTACCCTGGCAATATCTGGAACATGACAGGGGCTCAGTAAATAATTGTTCAATGGATGAGTTGTACATTCTTGCATTCACCCATTCATTTATTATTATTATTATTATTATTATTATTATTATTATTATTATTTTGAGATGGAGTCTCACTCTATTGCCCAAGTTGGAGTGCAGTGGCATGATCTTGGCTCACTGCAACCTCTACCTCCCAGGTTCAA